ATAGAATATTGAATGAGAGCAGTTCTCTCAGCTGTTAAAATTGATTTATAGGATCAGGGATTTGGCTTCAAGTAGTAGAGCACATGCCCGCCCTGACTTTGATCCTTGATACTGTATACCTGCCTTCAGCACTCCCAGATATGATTCAGGTACAACCCTCATACCACCAGCCTTGCCCCTACCCCTCCGAGCATGACAGATCCTTTTTCCTCTAAGAGTGTCTCAGTATTTTAGTATCTTATTTGTAATTTTTACAGATACATTTACATTTTATCCATATTTTATGTATTTTATTTAATTATACATGGTAGGAAATTCAAAAGGAGACAGTTTACAAAGTCATGTCTCTTTCCCAATTTTCTTTCTTGTGATGTAACCAGTAACACTAGTTAAATTGTTTAAGGGCTTTTTTTTTCCCTCCCACAAATTTCCTGCACGTTTACCTGATTTAGACAAATGATCTTCTGCATCTTACTTATTTTAATGTACCATGGGGATTTTTCATATCATGAAAAAACACCCCTCAGTATTTTCCAAGTACTCTGTTAAGTACTCTAGTAAGTAGGTACACCATAGTAGACAGTATTTCTAGATATTGAAGTTGCATTCTAATTTTTTGAGATTGAGAGTGTATTTACTCCTTGCTTTTAAAGAGTTGGGGCAACACCTGGCAGTGCTCAGGGCTTTTCACTCTTCACTCAGTATGGAACAACAAACACCCACGAATAGCTAAAGCAATTCTTGGGAAAAAAAGACATTGGGAGGCATTACCCTCCCCAGCGTCAAACTCTACTACAAAGACATAAAAATGAAAACAGCATGGTACTGGAACAAAGACAGAGCTGCAGACCAATGGAACACAGTGGAATATCCCTACACACAACCCCAAATGTTTGAACATCTAATCTTTCATAAGGGAGCAAGAAATGTGAAGTGGAGCAAGAAAAGACTCTTTAACAAATGGTGCTGGCATAACTGGACAGCCACATGCAAAAAAATGGGCTTAGACCTCGGCCTAACACCATGCACAAAAGTCAAATCAAAATGGATTAAGGATCTCAACATCAAGCCAGAATATATAAGATACATTGAAGACAAGGTCGGCAAAATCCTCCACGATATTGAGGCTAACGGTATCTTCAAAGACACCACTCCAGTGACCAACCAAGTGAAACAGAGATAAACAAATGGGACCATCTTAAATTAAGAAGCTTTTGCACCACAAAAGATACAGTGACCAAAATACAAAGACAATCTACAGAATGGGAAAGGATATTCACCCAATACCCATTGGACAAGGGGTTGATATCAAGGTTATATAAGGCACTGGTTGAACTCTGCAAGAAGAAAACATCCAACCCCATCAGAAAATGGGGTGATGAAATGAACAGAAACTTTCTCAAGGAAGAAATCCAAATGGCAAAAAGGCACATGAAAAAATGCTCTTCATCAACTAATTATCAGGGAGATGCAGATCAAAACAACTATGAGGTACCACCTCACATCACAAACTGATACACATCCAAAAGAACAAAAGCAACTTGTGGATGTGGGGAGAAAGAGAACTTCCTACACTGCTGGTGGGAATGCAGACTGGTTCAGCCCTTTTGGAAAATAGTATTGATGATTCTCAAAAAGTTAGAAATTGAGCTCCCATTTGACTCAGCAATACCTCCTAGGAATATATCCCAGAGATGCAAAAAAGTATAGTCGAAGTGACATCTGGACTTGTTTGTTCATTGCAGCACTGTTTAGAATAGCCAGAATCTGAAAAAAACCCAAGTGCCCAAGAACATATGACTGGTTAAAGAAACTTTGGTACATATGCACAATGAAATACTATGCAACTGTTAGAAAAGATGAAGTCATGAAATTTACATACAAGTGGTACTACATGGAAAGGATCATGCTAAGTGAAATGAGTCAGAAAGAGAGGACAGACACAGAAAGATTGCATTCATCTGGGGAATATAAAGTAACAAAATAGGAGACTGACACCCAAGAATAGTCGAGATAATAATTACCAGGAGGTTTGCTTCATGGCTTGGAGGCCAGCTGCACATGCTGGGGGGAAAGGCAGCTTATATAGAGAAGGGAACACCAAATAAAGGGTGTTGGGAAGATCCACCCAGGATGGGAGATGCATACTGAAAGTAGAGTATAGACTGAACATGATTGACACTCATACCTCTATTGCAAACCACAACACCCAAAAGGAGAGAGAGATCAAAAGGGAATGCCCTGCCACAGAGGCGGGGTGGCATGTGGGGGTATGGAGTGGTGGTGGGAGCGTATACTGAAGTCATTGGTGGTGGAGAATGGGCACTGGTGAAAGGATGGGTACTCGATCATTGTATAACTGAAACTCAAGCACCAAAATTTGTAAGTCTACAACTGTACCTCATGGTGTTTCACTAATAGAAATAAAAAAAAAATAAGGTTTTCATTATAGACAATTCTCTGGGAAAAAAAAGAGTCACTTCTGATGGGCTCGGAGGCCATGTCGGGTTTTCCAGGATTGAACCCAGTAGGATGTGTACAAGGCAAGCGCTTTGCCAGCTGTGCTCTCTCTTGGCCCTATGAAGGGTAGAGTCTCTAGATTGCATTCCTGCCAATGCTTCCCTTGTTTGAGTAATAAGAAAGGGGTCAGGGTTAGGGTCAGGCACATGACTGCCACTGTCACAGTGTGTTCCTATACAACAGTAAAATCATGATGATTTATTTTTTTATGTAACTTTATCCCTAATGTTCTTAGATATCTGAAATCTTGTCCTTACCAGGAATCGCTTTAAAGAAGAATCACAAAAGAGTGTGTGGGCAGTGATGGCAATGGGAGGAATCCTGTATATCTTGTTTGTCTTAATGAAGTTTGAGCTTCAGTCTTACCATTATCAGATGAACTCGAAATCTTTTTTATACCAGGTGATGGAGCTCTATCTCCACTGTTGTGAGGATTCAGAACGAGCTCCATGGCACTTTGAAGTAGTGCTTCTGAGGTACTCTGTACAGGTGCCAGTGTCTAGTCTTTTTAGGTGCCATTGTCTTCTCAGTCCTGTTCTTCTGCTGGAGGTTTTAAACTGTGATTATGCTTTAGAGCCCTGTGAATCAGAAAAAGGAAAATCAAAAGTAAAAGTCACATTGTTTTTTTCCTTCTAATCTGTAAGAGTTATAGATTTTATTTTATTTTGGTTTGGGGGCCACACTTGGCAGTGCTAAAGGGTTACTTCTGGCTCTGCATGTGGCTCTGGCGGTGCCTGGGAGATCATATGGGATTCTGGGGATCAGACCTGCGTTGGCTGCATGCAAGGCATCACCCTACCAGCTTTACTATCTCTCTAGCCCTGCCTGATTTTTATTTTTTAATAGAGGAACAAGTTGATTGATTGTGGGGGATAAAAGGAATCAAGACACTTAGTGTTGTGGTATGGTTAGAAACAAGAAATTTTGGGAAAGTCAGATGTGGGTTCAAATCCTGGCACTATCATTGCCAGCCAAGCTGTTTGGAGTTGAGTCTTACAAAATGATGGGGAGTGGGGGAGGCTTGCCAGCTGCCCTATAAGAGCATTCTCTTCTGTTTGAGTTTTCTGAATTATCCCACGTTTCATGTATAAAATCTTTCCTCTTTCCCCCACCCCCCTTTTTAAAGAATTGTCACTGTCCTCCCGTTGTTCATCAATTTGCTCAAGCGGGCCCAATAACTTCTCCATCGTGAGACTTGTGTTTGGCATATCAGATACGTCACCGGTAGCTTGCCAGGCTTTGCCGTGCGGGTGAGATACTCTCGGTAGCTTGCCGGGCTCTCCGAGAGGGGCGGAGGAATCGAACTGGGGTGGGCCGCGTGTAAGGCAAACGCCCTACCACTGTGCTATTGCTCCAGTTTTTATATTTTGCAACATTTTTATCATAAAAGGAGTTAGGGTGAATTTGAACATAAAAATGTTTGCTGCTTGTTTTTGAGCCACAGTTAGCAGTGCTCAGGTCTTACTCCTGTCTCAGGGATCACTCCTGGTGGTGTTTAGAAGACTGACTATATATGGTGCCATGGGTGAAACTCAGGTTGGGTGCCTGCATGACAGGTGCTCTGTTCTGTACTGTCTCTCCAACCCGTGAACATTAAGAAGTGCATTCATTTAAATTCCTACCTTGAAAAAAAGTTCATTTATTAACACTTGGAATTTTTTCACTTTTTTAAGGCACTTAAAGAAAGGTTGCATTAACATTGTATATTCAAACATCCTTGTAATGAAATAAAAAATTAAATTGCTTAGATAACTCTAGATTAATATGTCATTAAAGGAATGGAGATGAATACTTTGTTGAATGGGACAGCGACTTCTTACTGAGATAACCCATGATTTAATCTACCTTGTAAGACATTCTGAAACAAGACAAGTGAAAATTAAAGTTTCTAAAGCAACCTGCTCTATTTTGATTTCTTCCTTATTTGGCATGTGCTCCTGAGATTACAAGTCTTTGTAGGCATTATGTTACTATTTTGCACTAGCTGTTTTTTTTTAAATTCAATTTTATAGGGACTCCTCAGTAGTGCTGGGGAGACCCGGAAGCTGCTCTTAGGGATCCTCAGCCTGGTGGCATGGGCCTGTTGGTGAAACCCTTTGACCATACCAGGACCACACCAAGCCATGCTCCGGGGTCCATGTTGTGCTGGAGACTAAACTTGGGGCCTAACACATGCTAGGCATATGCCTTTAGCACTTGTGCTAGCTCCTTGGAACCAGTGTTGCTCTCTCTGGTGGTATATGAAAACCAGATTGTTTCTAACAGTTCCGCCAGATTTATATATGCTGTTTGATACTTTGATCAACTTGTGGTTGTTCCTCAGCTAGCGATTCCACCCAAGTCTGGAGAAAAATGCAGATGGGTTAGAGTTAGTAACTTTCCTTCCAGTACAGATGGTGGATGGAACATGTTCTCTAGATGGTGACCTACAATAAAGTCAGTCAGTTTTCTCCTTTTCTCTCTCTCCTCTCTCCCCACAGATTTTGAAGCCAGCTTCATAAGGCTGTTGGACAAAATAACTAATGGTTCTCGAATTGAAATAAACCAAACAGGTAAGCCCTTTTTTTCCTGTTACTGAAAGCATTTAACAGTTTCTGAAAGACTGATGAAATTATAGATCAAGGAGTCTCAAGTGACATAGGGCCACTTACAAGTCAAGCTTGTTTTTTTGATAACTTGTTATATTATTCTGGTGTAAAGATTGTATTCAGATGAAGAGAAAACATTTCCCTCCTTTTTTGGTAACAGTTGTATGGAGATATACATGAAAGTTGCCAATTTAAGAGGTAGATGCTTCATTTAAGAATGTTAGAAAACTGAAATTTTCTGATGAACAAGCAAGCATCTCCTCTTTCCATTTTTTCTTACTTAAAAAACATTTTTGAGAGGGACCACTCCTGGCAGTGGTCTGTCCAGTAGTAGAAGCCTGATGGGTGGTTGTTCAGGGCCACCAGATTTCCACCCAGTTGTGCTCAAAATGGAGACACGGTGGTGCTGGAGATCCCACTCAGGGCCTGGTACCTGCTAAGCTTGAGTTCTAACCCCTGAACTCTCTTCTCCAGCTAGATACCTCTTTTTTTTGACAGTGAAAATATTCTTATGCCTAATTACAAATGATTTTGTGAAGTCCATTGCTTATATTGTTGCATGAAAATCTTAAGGCAGACTCTGGGGTAGTTGTTTGTGCTGAATTTTATTTTGTCTTTTCCGGTAAGTGTAGATAATAATGTGCAGAAAAGAAAAGTGAAAGGCCTTTCACTTGTTTCTTCTTCCATGTCCTTCCCTAGGGCAGCCACAGTCACGGCCTGGTATTTGGCCCCTGTGTCCTTTATATGCATTTGGTCACATGTATAGTTCTGTGTTTCAAACGTAGCATCCTGTTCTTATTTTCCTGCAGCTTGCCTTTTTCCTTTTTCCAGTAACACAAATGTCTCTGATCTTTCCCTGCTGGCACACAAATGCCTCTTTCAGGATTTCAATGGACCCAACATAGTATCCTATTGTTTGGATACAAGATAATTTATTTCAGAGCTCCCTACTGATAACATTTAGGTTATTTCTAGCTTTATGTTTGTTATTTCCCTCAGAGAAATTTTTGTATAATAGGGCTTGAAATAATGTTGTCTTGTTCAACCTCATTTCATTATGATGTTGATAAGAGAAAAATTATCCTAGCCAAAGTTGAATGAAAGGCATTATTTATTTCACTGGAAGTCATAACAGTTTCCAAGAACCTATTTATGCCATTAAGTGAATACTTACTGAATGCATAAGGTACTGTGAGACAAACACATCCTAGGCCGACTTTCTGAGTTAAGCATCTTTGTACGTATATTCAGCAAAGGAAACTGATGTCCCATATGTTGGCTCTCACGAAAAAAAAAAAAAACAAGCTTGACTTGTAAGTGGCCCTATATCACTTGAGACTCCTTTATCTATAATTTCATCAGTTTTTCAGAAAACATGTGTCAGACACAAGACTGAACGCCCTATTGTAAGCTGTGATTCCCTTAGTCTTCCTTGGTTTATTTACTTTGAAATTAATGGGGTAGATTTTTTTTTTTAATTTTTAAAAGTAAACAATTTTTTTTCCCTTTATTTTTTTTTTACAGTTGTAGATTTACAATTTTTTGTGCTTGGGTTTCAATTATACAATGATCAGATACCCATCCCTCCACCAGTGCCCATTTTTCACCACCATGGATAATATCCCTCCCACCCCCATCCCCCATCCCCCCCCTGTCTCTGTGGCAGGGCAATCCCCTGTGTTCTCTCTCTCCTTTTGGGTGTTGTGGTCTGCAAAAGAGGCATTGAGTGGCAAACATGTTCAGTCCATAGTCTACTTTCGACATGCATCTCCCCTCCTGGGAGGATCCTCCAAATATCCTTTATTTGGTGCTCCCTTCTCTATCTGAACTGCCCTTTCCTCTAGGATACCCGGCTGGCCTCTAAGTTATGGAGTAATCCTCCTGGTGCTGATCTCAGCTAATGGGGTAGATTTTTTTCGGCAGTATTTACTGGGGAATTAGATCATTTTTTCAATTCTAGTCACATCTGCAGCTTAGGCTCAGAAGTAAGATTTTTTCCTTTCATTTTTTTTTTTGGTGGCCTCCCAAACAGTATTCTCTTAAGGGACCCAGGGATTACGTTTTGTGATAGTTGCCAACTGGATGGCTATTCAGTGCTAGCGCCTAGGGTATGGTGCTGTTCCCTACGTGCTTGGAGACCTCTAGAACCATAGTACAGTGGGTAGGGCACTTGTTTTGCACGTGGCCAACCCAAATTTGATCCCCTGCACCCCTTATGGTCCCTTGAGCACTGCCAGGAGTGATCCCTGATTGGAGAGCCAGAATTAAGCCCTGAGCACAGCTGAATATGACCCAAAACAAACAGAAGAAAACAAAAACAGTGCTAGTTGTACCTTTCAGTGCTGGGAGGCCATGAGGTTCCAGGGATCAAATGTAGGTCACCATGGATCATAACCCCTGCATTCTTCCTGGCCTAGACTTCCCCCAATCCAACCCCTCCCCCCATAATCTAGAGTGGAATTCTTATGATCTGGTCAGATTCTCACTTGGTTAATTTATAAAGCATAGACAAATTTGCAGAGTTCAGTGATAAGTCTTTTTTTTTTTTTTTTGGTTTGACCTAAAGGATTGGTTGGTGACTACTATAGTATATGGAGTCAAGTGATTGCCCTCTTTGGTCAGAATATGATTTGGATACAATTGTAAAGATTTTGTTTTCTAATGTAAGAAATTCTATATTTTATTTATGAAAGTCCCAAGAGTTACTTTCTTTTTGAGTGAGTGAACATATCTCCTCTCCCTGATATTAAATTTTATTGGTAAATTGTACCTGAAGATTTGGGCAAAAGATTTGAATGGTGAAAATTATTTTATGTTGTACATTATATATTATTTTATATTTCATAATTATATTTAATGAATATTTTATATATTATAAATACCACTGATCATCTAGAATATTTTATCTTGCTTTTCTTTCATTATGTAATCTAAAGAGAAATTTTGGGGATGATGTAAATCAGTGAAGGTGTATAAAGTTAATAACTATTAAATAATGTTCACATATCTGTTTTTACTCTTAAAATAGCTACTGTTAATGAAATTAAAGTATTTGTCCTCTTTAGGTATATGAATCATCTCATTTCAAGTATCTTGAAGCAGCTGACTGTTGGTGTGATTTTAGGGCATCATTTGTTCTTTATCAGCACAGTCTGAGAGTTTGACAGTTCTGAAGGTTGGGGGGGGCTTAATACTATTTATTATTTGAAAAGAATTTTATTGCGGTATTATGATTTACAATACATTTTATTGTTTCAGATATCTAATATATCAACATCATACCTACCATCAGAGTGTCATTGTCCATCTACCAATTTCTTGGGTCCCTGACGTTCCCACTCTCACCCCACACCTAAGTAAACAGTTCTGTAGGCCAACTCTCAGGGTCTGTTGCCATTGGTCATTTGTTATTCCCCTGTGTTTCTTTATATTCCATAGTTGAAAGAGATCATTGTTGTATTTGTTTCTCCTGACTGATTTCACTCCATATCATTCTGTCTAGTTCTGTCCCCATACCAGTGAATTACTGCTTATTAAATTGTACTCACTATTATTGTTACAGGGACTTGACAGTAATGAGTCAGCATTTGGAGTAACATGTGGGCACTTAGGAGTGGCATTTTGAATTCTCTTGGATGTCCTTGTCAGACTTTCATTTTGGGACTCACTGTGTTTGAGATGCTTAGTTTTTATTTATTTTTTTTTCTCGGTTGTATGTGGCTCTCTTCCCTCTGGTGTAAGGAACAACATTGTATTACCAACCTGGTCTCCTGTATGGTGGATCTGTGGAACATGATTGTAACATCCTTCGCAGCATTGGCTATTACCTGGAGAGTCTTCTTTGCCTGGCTCCATTTATGAAGCACCCATTAAAAATAGTTCTTCGAGGAGTGACCAATGACCAGGTTGACCCATCGGTGAGTAGAACTGTAGCACTGTCCTCTGGTTGTTCATTGATTTGCTCAAGCAGGTACTGGTAACGTCTCCATTGTGAGACTTGTTACTGTTTTTGGCATATTGAACATGCCACAGGTAGGTTGCCAGGCTCTGCCATGTGGGCGGGATACTCTCAGTAGTAGTGGAGCTAAATTGTAGTGTGAATTTTGTTTTGTCTCTTGTGATAGCCCACCTTTTAAAAAATAAGGCACTATAAAGTACAGGTTTATTGTTGAATATTTTTTTTTTCATTATTTGCTTTCAGATTTAGAGGTTTATCATTTAAGGAGAGCATTAACTAGGACACAAGTATTAAAACTAGTACTAGGTTTTTTGTTTTTTGTTTTTAAATTTATTTATTTATTTATTTATTTATTGAATCACCATGGGAAAGGTTACAAAGCTTTCAGGTTTAGGTCTCAGTCATGCAAATATCAAGCACATTTCCCTTTACCAAAACTTATTTTTTACCATGAAGAACCCCAATAAAACCCCAACCCCCACCCCTCCCAGTCCCTGTGGGGCAGATGAATTCTAGTTAACACTCTATCTGCTTTGATTAGATTCATTGTTTCAATAAAAGATTCACCACTATTATTTAGAGTTTACCCCCCCCACCCCCAAATCAGACATGCTGACAAAGCATTGTGGAGTGATTTGCTTTCTACAGCTGGGTTCAAGAATTATATGTTGGTTTTGGATTTCCGCTATTTTACTTATTGACCCTGGAAGTATTTCTACTGAAAGTCAGATAGTTAAGAAATTGGTTTCTGTGCTCTGGAGTCGTGGCCGTGCTGGAGAGCCGCTAGTGGGGGGCAACTGGTGGCCTCGGTAGGGCGTGAAGGGCGGACCGAAACGCCCCCCTTCCCATGAGGTTTTAGTCGTCCTCAGTCCCCCGGCTCATACCTGCTGTCCACACGGCTCCCATGCGGCCGCCATCTTTCTTTCCAGAGAGGAGAAGGCGACTGGGGCAACACCCTTTCCCCTCCGGACAGACCTGATGGCCTGGATTAATGCATAGTCCGTTCACTTTTCTGCTCCAAGCTGCCGGGTTCTGCATTAAGTCCTTGTGCTTCTGGGGCCGTGGCCATGCTGGAGAGCCGCTCGCGGGGGGCAACTGGTGACCTCGGTAGGGCGTGAAGGACGGACCGGAACGCCCCCCTTCCCACGAGGTTTTAGTTGCCCCCACACCCCCGGCTCATACCTGCTGTCCACAAGGCTCCCATGTGGCCTCCATCTTTCTTTCCAGAGGGAGGAGGGCGGAAGGGAGCAACACCCTTTCCCCTCCGGCAGACTTGATGGCCTGGATTAATGCATAGTCCTTTCACTTTTCTGCTCCAAGCTGCTGGGTTCTGCATTAAGTCCTTGTGCTTCTGGGGCTGTGGCCGTGCTGGAGAGCCGCTCATGGGGGGCAACTGGTGACCTCGGTAGGGCATGAAGGGCGGACCGAAACGCCCCCCTTCCCATGAGGAAAAACTAGTACTAGGTTTTTTGCTAACACTTCATGGTGGCTTTCATTATTGTGACTAAGAACAGATGTTTGCAGTCTTGTTATGGTTGACATGAAATACTCCTCTTTTGGCTGATGTGTCTGACAGCTGAGTTTTCCAGAGGTCTTGTGATAACTAAGCAGACCAGATTTTACATAGAAAATGTCATTGTTGCTGCATAATCTTGACTTTCTCAGTTTTCAGCAAACTTGAGGGCCATTTTCTTCTAAGATGAGTTTTCAGGTTAGAAATGGGGCAGTAAGAGCTTTTGAGCTTTGGTTTATGGATACCAGCAAGCTTCTTTTTAAATATGCTAAATTTTTATAGGGAGCATAATTTCATGTAAGGGGAGGATTTTCACTGTGGCCACCTTAGCTATCTTAGTCCTACTGTAGGTTGGGTTTTGTTTTATATATTGAAATAAGGTTAAAGTCCTGAGCCAGACCTTCCTTAGACCTCTCCTGGGGATGGAAAGACCCCTACCTTTGGATGCCCTGCTTTCCAGAAGAGGTATCTTAAAGCTGAGGGTCATGATGTGAGGTCCTGATCGGGGCTGCTTATCTTTACAAACACTGGAGCAACACCAGTGAAGGGGCAGCTTCTGAGGCAGAATGTGAAGGATGTAGTATTCCTAATCAGGGAAATCAGTAGTTGGTCCAGTGAACCCCAAAATGGAGGCTGCTATTGTTCACCAAGATACCAACTTGGTTAATTTGTAGATGTTAAAAATTCTATTCTTAAGGGAATTCAGGTGCATGAACTATGAACTTTTCCCCTAGATTCCTGTTACATTCAAGATAAAATCTTGGCTGTAAAGGAACATTGCATAAATTGAGTAGATTTTATAACTAATCTGCAATAAGTACCTTTGTTTCCTCTAATATCTGCAAGATACAAGGAAATGCATCCTTCGCTTCTAAGTGTGAGAGGATATTTTAACAATTGAAGGTTGGAAAGATGCCTTGAATGCTGGAAAAAGTTCAAGTGACCAGCACAGTGTGGCTCTCCTTTGAACTTTTATGTGTGTCTGAATACCCAGAAATAGTATTTGTGTTTTGCAGGTTTTGGGTCCCCCTCCCCCCAACAATGTTTTTATATGCTACAGGACTATATCCAATCCTGGTTCAAGTAACTTTTTAATTGTTTTTTTTTTTTTAAAAAAAACAACAATATGTGGTTTCCCATCTGTTAATGAATTTTCTCTTTGCACAGAGGGATGAATCCAGTGAGTACTGCCCTTAGGGAATGGTCCCATAAAGAGCTGTGACCACAGCTAAGGAGGCCTCTGGTCTCTGATAGGGAACCAGCCAAGTACTGAGGGTGTTATTCTAGAAATTATCTTCATGTTTTATTCTCTTTCTGATTTGGCACCACATTTGGTGTTGCGCAGGGGTTTCCTGGCTCTGCACTCAGGAATCACTCCTGGAGTTGTCCAGGGGACCATGTGGAATGGCAGGGATTGAACCTGCATTAGCTGTATGCAAGGCAAAGTACCTTACCCACTGTACCCATCTCTCCAGCCCCTCTAGAAATTTGCTTTTCAAACTGAATTTTATGATCGCAGGTGGGGCTGCATAACTGTATATGGGTGTCACAAAAAATCTGGCAAAAGTAAAAGATTTCTTGACCAAAATCTCTCTAGTTTTTAGGAAGGTAACTCTGGAGGCAGAGTGAGAGGAGATTGAATTGAAGCGTTGTCAACTAATTTGGACATTATAGAGATGGAAGTGGGACGGTAGGAACATATATGAAAGACAGAGTGGACAGAGAGATGTTACAACTTGATAGTTATTAGTTATTGGGGGGTGGGGTAGGGTTGGCCACACCCAGTTTTATTTGGGTTACACCTAGTTCAACACTCGGAATTACTCCTGATGGTGCTTGGGAAAACTGTATGGGATGACAGGCATCAAATCCAGATTGGTCATGCAAGGTAAGTCCCCTCTTCACTGAACTATCTCTCCCACGTTGTAGAACTGATACCTACTAAGGTGGTGGGCCGCTCAACAGGTGTCTTGGTTGGTGCTTTGGTTTACTTTGACTTAGAGTAACACAACTGTAAACATTAAACTACCGTATTGTAAAATGTGAATAAAAGAAAACTAATTTTTTTCATATTCTTTAAACCAGTAAGAAAGAATGAGCTGGAGTTTCCAGTTTGTTACCTGAGTGAGCCTAGCAGGTTTTCAAATTGTTTCCTAATGATCTAAATGATTATGATGACTCATGAGGCAGGCCTTGATCTCCATGTCATAAATGAGGAGGACGAGAGAGATAGTACAGTGACTAGGGTGCTTGCCTTGCATCTGGCTGACCCAGGTTTGCTCCCGGCTTCAATCCTGGCTTCCCATATGGCTCTTGGAGCACCACCAGAAGTAATTTCTGAGTGCAGAGCTAGGAGTAACCCCTGAGCATGGTGGGTGTGGTCCAAAAACAAAAAGAAAAACAAAACAAACAAAAAACCCACCAAAAAATGAGAAAAGGGGAATTTAGAGAATTCAAGTGACTTATCTTACTTGTAGACCTAACCTATCCCCACTAATGAGCCATGTCCTTTTTTTTATTCTTTTTTTTTTTTTAAAGAAAAGTGAGAACATCTTTATTTAAATGCCACAGTGCACAAAGTTGTTCTTTCTGTTGTTTGTTTTGGGCGTTCAGTGTTCCAGCACAAATCTCACCAGCAGTGTGACCTTTCCTTCCCCGTTGTCTCCAGTTTCCCACCACCCCCAAGGCTGCCCCTTGGCGTGCACAAATTAGTTTATTTTATATTGTGTGTTAAGCAAAATGGTAAGTGGAATCATCAAAACTATTGTTCCGTAAAAGATGATTTATGAAAATTGTCATAATTCACAATAGTGTATTAAATTAACGAAACTAGTTAAAGTCATTATCTGAGGATTCACTGAGCTGTTTGTTGCTAGTTGAGCCTTCTGTGTTACTGGTTTCACTTCTTGCGCTGTGTGGGCTTCCATGCTACCTTCCCATCTGATTTGTTGTGCTCCTACCGCTGCTGTGTCAGTATTGCGGACTTTGGAGAATCCCAAAGTGTGTGTGGTTATGTGCTCCAGCAGCGGTGGAACTGGGAAGCTTCATAAGCTTGGTGTCTTTTCTGAGATTAGAGTTGAAGCTGGGTATTGAAGCTGTAGGTGCAGCTGCTGGGGCTTCGGGTGGGGACTCTGACCACCCTCCCTCCCAAAGGACCCCAGAGTTTTCAGCCCGAACACCAGTATGCCTGTGAGTTTTGTTGTTTTGATTTGGAATCTCTTCTGAGGCTGGGCTGTTCCTATTGAAGACTGAGAGACCACATCCTTTCTTCTTACCAGACTGTATCATCTACCTGGTTGCTAAGCCTCATTCTCCATCATGTGATCTTTCTTTTTGTCTGCTTCAAGTTTTGATTAAACTTTTCTCTCCTCTTCCTGAATTAATTCTATAGGTTGATGTCCTAAAAGCAACAGCCCTTCCTCTCTTGAAACAGTTTGGGATTGATGGTGAATCATTTGAGCTAAAGGTATGAATATATGAATTGTTTGTTATTTATGACTGTGTTAAATATTTTTGTACAAACTTAATGGAAGATCTGTATGCTGAGCATCAGTGTTTTTAAAGAGTAAGTCACTTGGGGCTGGAGCAATAGCACAGCGGGTAGGGCGTTTGCCTTGCATGCGGCCGACCCGGGTTCAATTCCCAGCATCCCATATGGTCCCCTGAGCACCGCCAGGGGTAATTCCTGAGCGCAGAGCCAGGAGTAACCCCTTTACCCCTATGCATTGCTGTGTGTGACCCAAAAAGCAAAAAAAAAAAAGTAAGTCACTTCAGTTTTATTTAATACAGAACTTCGGCAGATCAGTTATTTGTTAATTTGTTATTATAGGAGAGGGGAATAGAGTCTGAATGTTAAGAACTGGGTTCAGCTAATGAATGAGGTCAGACTCTTCATTTTAAGGAAGAACTGGACCAGTGGTGAAGTAGCTCGAATTTACATTCTTCTTAAGGGTCCATTGATCTTTGAGAGACTGACAGATTGAATGCAAAAGAACTTTCTTTCTGAGTGCTAAGGAAGTTGCTCCTGGGTATTTGATATCCTTACCAGATGCTGTATCAAGATGATTCACTCTTTCTGCATCCTCACGGTCTGTTTTCTGCCCATGTATGTAGATTGTGCGACGGGGAATGCCTCCCGGAGGAGGAGGTGAGGTGTTGTTCTCATGTCCTGTAAGGAAATTCCTGAAGCCCATTCAGCTCACAGATCCAGGAAAAATCAAGCGTATCAGAGGAATGGCGTATCCTTTGCTTTGGGTTCAAGATCCTAACTTTTTTCTCATCTCATTAAGATAATGATAATTCATAATAACTTTACTTCTTCCTAGGGTTATTTCCATTTTAGATAGAAATCTTGGAAAAGTCATTGGCTGAGATATATTTTTGCTTTATTATGTGCCCCACTCTGACGTGTATGTGTGTGTGTGTGTGTGTGTGTATAATTTTTTTTTATCTAATGCTTAAACCAATAATTTCCATGCATGTTATATTATCTTGAGAATTTGGTTTGGGGACTACCAGTGGTACTGTAGTCCATTTCTCAGAGAGTTTATCACCTGGTGAAGAAAATGAATATGCAAATAGTTAAGATATAATGTGTATGGTGATATAGATGTTTGCATAGTGGCCTGGGGGAGCTAAGAATAGTGACCAATAGGATATAGGACAGCTGAAACAGTAACAGTGATCTTATGTTCTATTTCATAAGTACTTACTTTGTTTCTGCTTTGGTGGTCATTTAATGTATTTTTGAAAATTCTTTATTGAGGTCCTGCCACAGCAGTAGGGGATTTGCCTTGTGCACAGCTGGCCTAGCTGAGCCGGGTTCGACTTCTCTGCCCCTCTCGGAGAGCCCGACAAACTACCGAGAGTATTTTGCCTGCATGGCAAAGCCTGGCAAGCTGCCTGTGACGTATTTGATATGCCAGACACAGTAACAACAAGTCTCACAATGGAGATGTTACTGGGCCTGCTCGAGCAACTCGATGAACAATGGGAGGACAGTGCTATACAGTGCCATTTACTGAGGTATAATATGATTGATCACTTGATCACTTGACATCCTGTTATTCATCCATTTGCTTGAGCAGGCGCCAGTAATGACTCCATTGGTCCCTGTCACATGCTAGTGTAGCCCAATGACGTCTGCTCGTTCTAGGAACACGAAGAGCCTTAAACCATTCAGGATCTTGACGAAGAAGTCTGACCATCTCATAGGTGGGCGGCCACGCGATCTTTTGACGTCCGGTGGAATCCAGTCGGTAGTGGCTGTAGTCCAGCGGTCATCTCCAAATCTCATTACGTTTCCAGCCTATCTGATTTTTGACGCCTTGGCAAACGAGACAGCATCCCTGATTCTTGATTGTCGATGGAGGTCTCTCTCATTTGAGTGAAGCATGATACTCTAAGCATAGCTCTTTCGATTCCTCTTTGGGAGACCCGAATAGCATTTTTATCCTGTTTTCGTCGGGCCCAGGTCCCTGAGGCCTATGTTAATGCAGGAGGATCAGTGGAATCGAAGAGATGTGCCTTGAGCCGGAGGTTCTTCGTCCACTTGGCTATTTCTTCGATGCTCTTGAAGGCATTCCAAGCCGCTCTCTTTCACCTGTGCAACTCAGGTGCCAGGTCATTCATCATGTTGACTTCTCGACCTAGGTACACATAACTGTTGCATTCGGAGATGTTTGTCCCATTTAGAGCAAATGGAACATCAGGAACGAGACCATTTCTCATAAACATTGTCTTTGTGAGATTCAGCTGTAGTCCTCCCTTTCCACACTCATGGTTGAATTCGGCCAGCACTTGTGCCACTTGGCTGATGTTTGGTGTTATTAGAACGATGTCATCAATGAAGTGGAGGTGGTATAGTTGCCGACCGTCTATCTTCACTCCCATTTCTTCCCTTTCCAGTCATTGCATGATGTTCTCGAGGGTGGCACTGAAGAGTTTTGGTGAAATGGTATCACCCTGCCGAACCCCTTTCTTGACGTCAATGATCACCTCCCGGTAGAATGGTGAGATCCTGGTAGTGAATCCACAATACAGCTCACAGAGGATCCTGATGTATTGAGTTTCAACTCCCTGTTTGGCTAGGGCTTTGATGACCGCTTCAGTCTTATAATATGATTGACAGAAAAAAAACTGTACATATTTAATGTATGCAGTTTTTGGTTTTTGTTTGGGTTCTTCAACAGGTGGTGTTCAGGATTACACTCCTATCTGTGGCAGGCTTGGGAGACCATATGTAGTGCCAGGGATTGAACTCGCACCAGCCAAATGCAAGGCAAGCATACACACCCTCTGTACTATTAGACTGGCCCTGGTATCCTTATTTTTTAATTTTCTTTATTTCTGCCCATGTCACTGTTTTTTACATTTTGATTGCTTCAGATTTACCTTACTCTTTTTCTAGTTCTCTCTCTTTTTTTTTTATTAGTGAGACATCATGAGGTATAGTTGTAGACTTAAAAATTTTTGTGTTTGGGTTTCAGTTATACAGTGATCAAATACCCATCCCTCCACCAGTGCCCATTTCCCACCACTATGGATCCCAGTATCCCTCCCACCCCCATTTTCCCATCCCACCCTGCCTCTGTGGCAAGGCATTCCGTTTTGTTCTCTCTCTTATTGGGTGTTGTGGTTTGCAAAAGAGGCAATGGATGGCAATCATGTTTGGTCTATAGTCTACTTTCAGCATGCTTCTCCCATCCTGGGAGGATCCTCCCAACACCCTTTATTTGGTGTTCCCTTTTCTATCTGAGCTCCCCTTTTCCCTAGCATGTGTGGTTGGCCTCCAAGACTCTTTTTCTAGTTCTTTACGACGCAAAGTTAGTATTTTTCTTTATTGTTTTGGTAGAAAAATTATGTGTATTGTTATATATAATCCCCTCCCCTTATTTTCACTGTATCCCAATGTTTTGATATATTGTGTTTTCCTTTTCACTTGTCTCTAGGTATTTTTTAACTTACCTTTGGTTTTCTTTGACCCAGTGTTTGTGCATGAACATGTTGTTTGTCATGCTTTCATGTATTTACCATTTTCTTGTTCTTTTAAGAGACTTGGGTTGGTTTCTTAAATCTTAAATTTGTTAGGATTTGTTTGTGATTTAGCATGTTGGTCTGTCGAAAATTCTCTGTATACTTGTATATTTTGTTATTTCAGGGTTGAATGTTCTATACATGACTGTATATTCTGTGTATTAGGGCCGTTTGGTCTATAATGTTCAAATTTACTTTTTCCTTGTTGATAGTCATTTTGGATATTCTATTAGGAATGGGCCAGCGATAGAGGTCTTCCCTTTGAACCCCCTTCTCATCCCATATAACCAAGCAGAAACCCAGTGGCACTGCAGTTAGTAATCTCCAGCGTCACAACCAAGTGTGAGCATTGCTACCAGGTACATGCAATCCCTGGTATAAAAGCAGCAAGGGAAATGAAACCTTACTGATTGCCATTGAGTTTTGCGGTTTTCACGATTTCCAAAAATACTGTGGTTGATTTCATACTTACCTATGAATTCATGCACTCTTTTAGAACTATTTTTGTTTTTATTCGGTTTGTTGGGTTTTTTTTTTTTGTTTTGTTTTGTTTTGCCTTTCCTTTGGAGATTAGCTTTCTTGATGTTAATGTTAAACTTTCTTAATGTCACCTTCCTTAATTGGAGTTTAGCTCCTTTATTGAATCATGGCTGTGAGCTTTGCTCAGAATTGATTGATTCTCTGTAGTCTGGAAATGTTATTTTCAGCACATGGTCACTTTTGATAAGATCTTGTGGAGGCATCCTGGGTATCACAAGGCCATCATACTGAATTTCGTCTGTATTCTGCTGGGTGTGCATGAGGCTCTGCACAGGGCTTTGATGCTACTGCTGTGAAATGGGGAGAGCTTGGAGTTAAAAAGTTGAAAAAGCCGAGTTTGGAGCCTGGTGGGGAAAAGAGCAGTCTTTGGGTAAAGCGTTAGTTGGTTTTGTGATTTTTCTGCTTGCAAGGATGGTTAAGTATTGGTCTAAACTTGGAGGTTGTCGTCCCCAGAGGAAGGTTCTCATTGGGATAATGAGCTCTGCTCTGTTGTGTTTGTGGTTTCACACTGCACAGTGTGCCTCCATTTCCTCAGCAAGTGATCAAGAACTGGGAGGGAGTTGGGCTTGGTTTCTGCCAGTAATTGGGCGTTTAATGCCGGTCAGTCTCTTTCAGCTACCTGATACTGGGCCAGAGAGAAAGGAGCACTTTGTTTCAGTTTGCTGCTGACCTGGTGGCTGGGACATTGATGATGTTTTTTCAATGAAGTTAGCTAGGGGCAGAAGACGGGGGAGAGCTGGGGTTTATGGGAGTCGGTTTCCTTTCTCTGACTATAAGGGAAAGTTCTTGGAGAATCGTTATTTCTGTCTCTCCCTTACACATATCACAAATTCCTTAGTTTTCCCTGGTCTGAAACCCAAGGGAGGCTGAAGAGTAGAAGTTTAGCTGTGAATTTATCGCTCTTGATAGGAATTCTTTTTTTCTTTTGAAAATGTTTGTTGAGGTATTGTGATCCATAATATCATTAATGGTGGCTTTATATATATATATATACTTTATTTCAACACTACACCTGCAACCAAAGTACCCGCTTGTTTCTACCAGTCACGTATGTCTCAAAGCCATGCTGCCTGCCACACCTCCCCCACATCCCCCACCTGCCTACCTTTAAGCAACATAAAGTAAATTATTTTGTGCCTTCTAAAGGGGCAGGCTTATGGAAAGTGGGAAACGGTGGACATGGGTGGTAGGATTGGTGTTGGAACATTACACTTAAAACAGCTGCGTTATGAACAACTGTAATTCATGATGCTTAAATAAAGTTTCAAACTTACTTTTTTTAATAGAAAAGAGAGAGGATCCTTTAGGTTCCTCACATTCTAAGAAGAGTTCTTGATTTCCAGAAGGATAGGAAGTTCTGCTTTGAACTGTGAGTCTTGTACTACCAGTTTTAAAAAGCTATAGCTGATATTTATTGGACTGCTATTACATCTCAGGCATTGCTGAGAGCTTTGCCCACATTACTTCGTTTGACCCTTTGAACTCTGGAGAGAGTATTAAGATTGTCCCTTATTGAGAAAGGAGAATGTAAAGGCCGAAGCTATCACATTAGACCAGACTGATGTGGTTTGCTGAAGCCTGGACTTAAGTACAGTTAGTTTGATTCTTGAGTCCTTAGTTGTTCTTGGTAGCACCGATACTTTAAGCCGGGTGACCTCATGGTGACTCTGGTGTAGCTGACTTTAATCCCTTCTCTTCACTAGCTAAATTCTAGTAGAGCTTCTACTGAATTGGCACTGTTCTGCCTGGTTTCCACATCTCTGGGCAGGTTGGGGGAGGAAATTGTCTTTGGGGAATCGGATGTTTAATTTTGAAACTTGGGTTTTGTTCCAGTTGCCCTCAATAGAAGCTCTGGAGCCAGGAATCTGGTACTTACATGCCACATGATTGCCATAAAATAATGTACCTGCAAGAATATTGGGAGCCTTCGAAGGTCTGAGTTTATATATTAGAACAGGTATTCCTGCTCTCCAGGGCATAGAGGATAGCCTTGAAACTCAGAAATCATTCATTAAGTCCAAAGGGTATGAGACCCAGGACTGTTTGTCTAAGCTTCCTGTGGTCAAAAGTACGTTCTGGGCAGAAAAACGTTGTGATGTAACTGAACTCTATGTGTGTATTGAAAAATCCCTCTTTGCTCTTTCCTCATTTCAGGTTTGTCCTTTGAGTCAGGTTAAATATTTATTGAATATTCTTGAGTACAAAAGTAGTGTGTACCTGGGAGCTCTGAGGGATACCAAAGTGGAGCCCTTTTCCTTATGAAGTGTGCATTGTTGAAGAGGAACCGCAAAATGTGTGCATATGAAGGGAGATGCCTGGTGAGTTCAAGTGGATCTAGATCATAGGTGTTGACTGAAGGTTTTCGGGAGAGAGGAAACTCTGGAAGGAAAATGGACTGCAGTTCTGGTCGAAGAATGTGGGTAGTTTGAGTGGGTTAGAGGGGTTGATGGTTCTAGAATAGGAACAAACACTGAGCAGGCTGGAGGTTCTGACAGTGAAATCTGGTAGGACTTGATGCTACTCGATGCTACTCAGATTCTCACTACTATGAAAACGATTCGATAGCACAGCGGTAGGGCGTTCGCCTTACAAGCGGCCAACATGGCCGACCCGAGTTCGATTCCTCCGCCCCTCTCAGAGAGCCCGGCAAGCTACCGAGAGTATTGGATATGCCAGACACAGTAACAACAAAGTCTCCAATGGAGACGTTACTGGGCCCGCTCGAGCAAATCGACGATCAACGGGAGGGCCTTTACCTTTACCTTTACCTTTTCTTGAAATATTCAGGATGGATCATGAAGGGGAGCTAGCTAGATGCTGGTGAACTCCTTTGCATAGACTCAAGTGCATTTTGTCTCTGTAGCTTAAATGAAATGAAACTTTTGTTATTTATAGGTGGGCTGTGCTAGGTAGACCATATGCCTTGTTTTTCTTGCTGGAAATCCCACTTGGTGCTTATTTTAAGGGTAGAGGAATATATGGTCTCGACTCTACATTATTCATTGAAAGTATCAGTAGTACTGTAGCACTGTCATCCTGTTGTTCATCGATTTGCTGGAGCATACACCAGTAACATCTCATTGTGAGACTTGTTACTGTTTTTGGCATATCAAATATGCCACGGGGAGCTTGCCAGGCTCTGCTGTGCAGGCGGATACTCTCAGTAGCTTGCCGGGCTCTCCGAGAGGGGCAAAGGAATCAAACCTGGGTCGGCCTTATGCAAGGCAAATGTCCTACCTGCTGTGCTTTCGCTCCAGCCCAAAAAGTATCAGTATATACTTTATTTTTGATTCATGAGTAAATCTCTGTAATAAAACTATTTTAGTTAATAGCTCCCTCCTTCTCAAGCACCAGCCTTTTCACCATTGCTGTTAGCTACTTTGTTTTCTAGGGTACCCTATTGAAAGTGTTAATTTTAGTAGCAGCCCATGCGAGGCCCATATCTCCCACAAAAGGGGTCTTTGAAACTAAATTGAAATTATCCCTTGTAAGCTGAAAAGACAATAAGGACCTATTTAGATCTTTTGATCTTTATAATCAACAGTCACAATGCTCTGGCTAATCTTTTTCTGCTATAAGAGACCAGGGAAGAAATTGGAATTGGCCTAAGTCATCCCCCTTACGGTCCCTATTTTGAGTTTTGAATCGTAAGAGAAGGACTCTTATGAATCAAATTATACCAGAGGGGTCATTAGAGAATACTTCAGTGGAAATCAGATTCCTGCCATGCTTCATTTGTTTCAAAGTTGGTTTTCACCATTTCTAGGGGAAGAGGTAATGGATAGAACATGTAGAGAAGATTTGGGAAGCTTTTGCTTCATGCATTCCAACTCTGCATTTGGAAATTTTTCAACGTGAACTTTAAATGCCTTTTATAACAGCAACGTAAAAATTACCTATTAATTTTTTAAAAAATTTTAAATTGAGTTATGCTACTTTATAGTAGTTCATACAGGTGGAAAATAGGTTAGAAGTAGCAGCCTCAGAATGTTATAACAGTTTCAAAGTATTTCCTAGCTTTACAACAGAGTTTTCTGTGCTCTGGAGCCCAGCAGAATGTGTCCTTAACTCTAGACTGCAGGTACTCCGTACGAGTTTCGCCTCAGATGGCAAATAGGATTGTGGAGTCTGCAAGGAGCATCCTCAACAAGTTTATACCTGATATCTATATTTATACAGACCACATGAAGGGAGTCAACTCTGGGAAGTAAGTATGATTATAGAGAATAATTCTACAGCTGCCCCTGCCTTCTTGTTCCTCTTCTAGCTGAAGTTAAAGCTGCCAGCTCTCAATTTGGGTGGCGAGTAAAGAATGACCCCAGTGTTTACAGAGAAGGAAATAAATCATGGGGGTGGAGGGTGGTTGGGGGGAGAAATGGGAAGTAATGGATGAACGGGCACCAGGGCTTCAGTTATACTGGTGATATGGGTGAGTGGTATAGCCATCTATCCTGATCACAGACTCAGCAACACTGTAAACAAGAGGTCTAAGCTGTAGGTAGCCGTTGGAATTTTGTAATGTGTCTGTCCAGTTGACAGGCGGGGAATGGGGATGGGGATTGGAGAGATGGGACGAAATATGGGTACACTGGTAGAGGAAAGTTGATATTGGTGGTGGGATTTGTGTTTAAATATTTTATGCCTAAAACTTAACTAATAATAACATTGTAAATCATGGTTCTTTTTTAGTTAAAAATTAAAAAATATAATAATATGAAAAATTAAAAAGGAATGATTTTAGAATGATTCTCCTTTTGACTGCTGTTGTCATCAGTAGGCATCTTTGGAGTCTTCCATGGAATGGATCACTGTGACCACTGCTGAGAGCAGGGGACTAGCCTCAGGGCGTTAAAGCAGTTTTTAATAGACAGTGCTTCAAACTTTAAATTCCATCTGTTTTCTGCTCCCACAGAAAAGTTAAAGAGGCTTGTTCTTTAAGCCCATTCGTGTTCTTCCTTGCTTGCTTGCTTGCTTGCCGCTGTTTCTTTTCCTGCCTATTTCCATTCTGTAGAAGCCTATGTTCTTTCTCAAATACTTCTCTCTTTCCCTTCTCATCTTTCTGAACAAGTCTCAATAAAACTGTCTGGCTTTACCAAGCATCCCTATTCCCCCCACCTCCAGTTTTTTTTTTTTTTTTTTTTTAGTTCTCACCCCCTAGGTAAATAACAGTTTAAAATGGGGGGGGGGGCAGTTTAAGGAAAAAAAACTGATGCCAGTTAACTTCTCTCAAGGAGAGAGCCCACAAAAGTTGTTCTTGTAGATTTGAATTTTGTTAGTAAAAGGTTTTGTATAAAACTTCACGTTAGAAAATAAAATATTAATCCTGGTCCTGGTCCTCCCGTTATTCATTGATTTGCTCAAGCAGGCCCAGTAACATCTCCATCGTGAGACTTGTTGTTACTGTGTTTGGCATATTGAATACATCACAGGTAGCTTGCCAGGCTTTGCCATGCAGGCGAGATACTCTCAGTAGCTTGCCGGGCTCTCCGAGAGTGGTGGAGGAATTGAACCCAACTCGGCCGGGCCAGCTGCACGCAAGGCAAACGCCCTACCGCTGTGCTATCACTCCAGCCCAAAATATTAATAAAGATTTGTATTATGAAAATACTGGGTTGAACCAGTAACTTAGGGATGCAAAATGCTTTAAAATGAAAAATTAAAGGAAAACAGAAAAGTTGATAGTACAGTGAATCCTAACATAGTTAACAATGATTGTTTTGATGGTTTTGCTTTACTACTTTTGTGGGTTTTCTTTGATTTTTGTTTTGCTAAGCCATTTCAGTATAATGATGGATTGTAGCTTTAAATTTTTGTATTGTATCTCCTAAAAATTAAAATTTTTGTCTGAGATTGTTAATGATTTAGAGCACCATTTTAAAAAGAATAGTGGAATCATAATTAAGTTTTCAGATTATATTTCCTAAAAATTAAAATACTGTCTGAGATAGTCTGTTAATGGTTTAGAGCACCATTTTCCCCCCTAAGTAGTACCAGACTCACCCTTTTAAAAATAGCTTTTCTGTCAGGGTTTATTTTAATTTCAACAATAAACAAAACAAGTAAGTGGTACTTGTGTTAGGAAATTTCTGGCCTTCAGGAAGCCTAAAGGGAAATACAAAGGTGATTTGAAAAATACAGGCTGGCTCAGTTCAAAACAGCAAAGGTAGTGGGGTGGTGTCAGAGATTAGAATTGGGAAAGGATTTGTGCGCAAAACTGGTCATTTCTTCTGAAGTTGAGAAAGCAGTGGCCCGAACCTTTGATTTATTGCTCAAATTTCCCCAGTGTTTTTTTCATTCATATCATGGGAATGGCAGCAACTTGGATCTGCAGGTTACCATGCAGGTGAAAAGAGTACATTTAAGCCACTAGAGCAATGCTTAGAACATGATGTTGCTACAGAAACGGTAGCTGCTGCTGTTTCTTTCTTGGCCCTTCTTGGACAGAGGTCTTAGAATTATATGTTATTTTCTGGGAAGAGAATACAATGGGACAAGGGAGAATTGGAAGCAGAATCAGCGCCCCATCTTCTAGCTCTGCTAAAACATGGTCAGGAATAAGCAGAGCAGGTCTGAAGGCCTTGCTGTCCCAATTATTGTGGACTACTTATAAGGCCATTGGGTCAGCAGTCTCTAATTCACAGTTGAGTTCTGTACTTGTTTCTGTGAAAAAGATGTCCACACAGATCAAGTTGTGAGCATGATGGAGTCTCATGGGTTATCAAGCCAAAAAAAAAAATAATGTAAAACTAATGTGTGTGTTTAGTTTTCAAACCTCAAATTACAGAAGGCAAACAGAAGCTTCCTTCTTTCTTTTGAAATTGTAAAATCATGGGTGAGTACTCTTCTTGGTCTGAAGAAGTCAGGTGTTAATGTGAGGTAGGTTTATTAAACTGGAACTGAGAGTTTGTGGCTGCAGTCTAGAATCCCAGAGGCTTTTTAGTACTTGGTTTCTGTGCCAGACATCTGTTAGTGTGATTTCATTTTGTTTCTAGTGACTTAAAAAATAAATTTTTATCCTTTACCAATTGCAAAGTTTTGGAGACGGTCATTTGCAAACTGGACTAATGACACTGTCAGTGAGGTCATCTGTTAGCTGCTTTGGCTTGTCCCTTAGAATAGGTCTGGCTTAATGGGATGGACATACATAGAGTTCAGTATGCTTTTGCATTCTTTGTTGTCTGTAAAACAGTATTAAAGGGGAAGAATCCCAGTTACGTATGACGTTTTATGGTATACATACCTCAAAATTTTTAAGTGGATAGAAAGATTTTGGAGTTCTTTGGAAATGTAGTTAAGTAAATGGGTGAGGATAATCTTGAAGCTTGTCTTCTGGTTCTTTGATGTTAAGTCAAGATCATCTATAGAGATTCATTTTAGCTTATTTTCAGTATTTTAAATTTTTTTGTTATTTCTTCTACACCCAGTGCTGCTTAGGGCTTACTTCTGGTTTTGCACTGGGGATAACTCCTAGTGATGCTCACTGGAGACCATACTAGATGCCTAGGATATAACCTGGATTGGTCTTATGCAAGCTTTACCTGTTGTACTATTGCTTCAGCCCTGAGAGGTATTTGCTTTTACTGTTTATGGACTGACTTTGGTATAAAGCTAGGTATTATTAATCTCTGTGACTATTAACACTTGTTACCATTGTGCCCCTAGGTCCTTGTCCTTGAAGGCTTTTTTCCAAATGTTTGTTGGGCATCAGAGTGAGTGAGTGGGTGGTAGTCGAGAAAATGAAGGGGATGTTAAGTTCTGTCTTTGGGGTAGTAGAAGCATAGTTGGAGAACCTGCTCATTGACAGTTGAATTCTGAGATGCCCCTGGGGAACAAGGACAAAAAGATATGCCTTTCTTAGGCCTCATTTGGCTTAGCACATATTTTTCATTATGGGTGGAGAAGCCAGATGTATTCAAGAAGAGCTGTAATAGGTGGTCTCCAGGTTGCTCCTGCCTTTTGGACTGGCAGAGACTGAGGCGACCATTGTTAAGGCTGTTTAGGAGAGCTGACATAGTTTTTGGAGTCTGGAACTCGTGCGTTTGAAATGCATCTTAGTCATTTTCTAGCTGTGTGGACTTGGTGCAAGTTGCCTTATCCTCATTTGTAAGCTGGGTTTTTAATATTTACTTTGCAGAACTGTAATGTGTCTAGCTCAGACTGGTAGAAAATAGGTGCTCAGAATCAGCAATGCTCAAAATTGCCAGCGTATTGTTACAGATTTTCCTAGTAGAGTCTGAAAATAAAATGAAGACAGAGGTTGGCAAGGGAGAAAGCAGTGCAGACTTGCCTCTCCCTCAGCTGTACTGTGTGTGCCCTCACTGAATTATGTCTATACTTCCAGGGTAGACAGTAGGAAGGAACTCTGGTTGCGGACTTGGTGTAACAGGGCAGAATGCCGTCAGAGAAAAGCTTTTCCTTTGTGGTGAGTGTGAACCCAGACTACTACCCCTACTCAGCATTTGTGCTTTCGACTCCCCAGATCTCCAGGTTTTGGGTTGTCACTGGTTGCTGAGACCACCAATGGCACTTTCCTCAGTGCTGAACTGGCTTCCAACCCCCAGGGCCAGGGGGCAGCAGTGCTTCCAGAGGACCTCGGCAGGAACTGTGCCAAGCTGCTGCTGGAAGAAATCTACAGGGTATGTCTTCAGCCTCTGCAGCTTTTGTGAGGGGAGCCGGCAGGAAGCAACCCTCTTGTTCTCATTCTTAAGCCTTGACAGCACTCTTTCCCTTCCAAGGGTGCAAGCCTAGGTTTTAGCATTTGAAATAGTTTAGCATTAATGGTTCTCTAAACTGGTCTGTAAGAAGAGATCAGCCCCACTGGGCAGGGCTGGTAAGTATTAATGAGGAGAAGAGTGGAAGTTGAGCATCCAGAAGGGAGAAGGCGGTAAACAAAGCTGAATGATGGAGAGTAGTCATTAAAGAGTTCCAGCATCCCGACCAAAGCAGGTACTGTCTCCCGTCCTGCCTTGCCTTTGCCATCTAGGAATGGGGACTCCTTTTCAGACCTTTGAAGAGAGGCTGAAATTCTAGACTTTGCATTTTGCTAATTGATTCATTTTGATAATTGGTAGAAGATGATGCCAACAGGCTAGACATAGCCATTTGCTATGCATTTAGATCAGGTTTCTCAAGTTTTTTCTGACCGTAGACCCTTTCCAGACTTGTACCTTCCTGGGGCCCCTGTCTTATGGGTTGTACCCCACCCCCATTTAGGCCATTTTCTTCTTTTTTTCTTTTGAATTCTTTATGTAAACACACGATTTATAAAGTTGTTCATAATACAGTTGTTTCGGGCATTCAGTGTTCCACAGCAATCCCACTACCAGTGTGACCTTCTTTCTACCATCGTTTATGCAGCTTTCACCTGTGGGCTCTTAGAGTATCTGAAGACCCCTAGGGAGCCATCTGGCCCACTCCTAGATGAGACTACTTTAGAACATAGAAGGTCTCGGAAAGGCAGCCCTGTTTTAGAGCATGGTAGGGGCTGTGGAAAGCTTGAGAATTTGGAATCCCCTCAAAAGGAAACATGATCCTGAAGGCAAAAGGTCATAACTGGTTTTTTTGCTTCTGTAGTTAGAGGAATGCAGCCCACACCAATCTACCTCAACCTCCCCTCTGGTTAGTAGCAGTCTTTTCTCTTTTAACCCAAAAGAGAGCAAAATGCACATATGCGGAGAGCCTCTGTTACTGTCTCTGAAAGATAGGTGATCTAAATACAAAGGGCAAAATTGGAGCAGGAGGAATAAAATGAAGCTGCCTTAAAATGCTCTCTAGATTTCAGATACTTTCTTGGAGAAGAGTCACTTAGATTTCTGTTAGTTCATGCTTCCTTTTGCTAAGACTCCATACCAGGAGACCAACACTTCTCCCTTGGCATACAGACTCCAGGACATGCACTGAGGGACGGTCTTTTCTCTTTCTCTTGTGCTGGACCCTACATTCTTGAACTGAGCTTGAGCAAAAGTTATGTTCTGTGATTGCCATTGGGTGGTATAATGTTTGCAATGTTATTTTCTCCAGCTTAAGAGTCTTTGATCTCTGTTTATGGGTGTATTTGTTCTGGTTAATAGTAATATATTTGTTCTTAGTTAATAGCCATGTCTGTTCTTTTCTGAAACATTCAATGAAGTTTTTCTTTGCTGAGTATGTTGATGCCGCAGCTGCAGTATGCAAGATTAAACCCCATCAGTGTGAGCCATGGGGCAGTAAGGAGGAAACCTGATTTGGGAAATAGTTCTGAGCATGCGCTATTCCCAGGTTCAATCCTCACCACTGCATAGTCCTTTGAGCTCCACAGGGAGAGTCTCTTCAAGCACTTGTGCCTGGAATATCTCCCAAGCTACTGAGAGTATCTCGCTCACATGGCAATGCCTGGCAAGCTACCCGTGAGGTATTTGATATGCCAGATACAGTAACAACAAGTCTCACAATGGAGACGTTACCGGGCCCGCTTGAGCAAATTGATGAACAAGGGCAGTGACAGTGACAGTGAGTGTATCCAAAACAAATCACTTAATTACTTAATCACTAACTTCCTGTTAGTCATCGATTTGCTCGAGCGGGCGCCAGTAACGTCTCCATTTGTCCCGGTCGCGTGCTAGTGTAGCCCAATGGCATCTGTTCGCTCTGGGAACATGAAGAGCCTCAAACCGATCGTTCATGATCTTGACGAAGAAGTCTGACCATCTGGTAGGTGGGCGGCCACGCGGTCTTTTGACATCCCGTGGAATCCAGTCGGTAATAGCTCTAGTCCAGCAGTTGTCTTTAAATCTCATTACGTGACCAGCACATCTGATTTTTGACACCTTGGCAAATGAGACAGCGTCCCTGATCCTTGATCGTCGACGGATGTCAGAACTCTGGATTCTTTCTCTCATTTGAGTGAAACGTGATATTCCAAGCATAGCTCTTTCTATTCTTCTTTGGGAGACCTGAATAGCATTCTCATCTTGTTTGCATAGGGCCCAGGTCTCTGAGGCATATGTTAATGCAGGAAGAACAGTGGAATCAAAGATGTGGCCGGAGCCGGAGGTTCTTCGTCCTCTTAGCTATTTCTTCGACGTTCTTGAAGGCGTTCCAAGCCGCTCTCTTCCTCCTGCGCAGCTCGGGTGCCAGGTCATTTGTCATGTTGACTTCTCGACCTAGGTACACATAGCTGTTGCATTCGGAGATGGTCGTTCTGTTGAGAGCGAATGGGGCGTCAGGAACGAGGCTGTTTCTCATGAACATTGTCTTCGTAAGATTCAGCTGTAGTCCTGCCTTTCCACACTCACGGTCAAAGTCGGCCAGCATTTGTGCCGCTTGGCTGATGTTTGGTGTTATTAAAACAATGTCATCAGCAAAGCGGAGGTGGTGTAGTTGCCGACCATCTATCTTCACTCCCATTCCTTCCCATTCCAGTCGTCGCATGATGTTCTCGAGGGTGGCACTGAAGAGTTTCGGTGAAATGGTATCACCCTGCTGCACCCCTCTCTTGACATCAACGATCACTTCTTTGTAGAATGGTGAGATCCTGGTAGTGAATCCACAATACAGCTCTCGGAGGATCCTGATGTATTGGGCTTGAATGCCCTGATTGGCTAGGGCTTCAATGACCGCTTCCGTCTCAACAGAATCAAAGGCCTTCTTTAAATCAATGAACGTTAAACAGAGCGGCATCTTGAACTCCCGAGAAACCTCAGTGAGCTTGGTTATCGTGTGGATATGGTCGATGGTGCTGAATCCTTTGCGGAACCCGGCTTGCTCACATGGTTGTCCTTCATCTAGTGTTCTGCCAGTCCTATTTAGAATGACTCGAGTGAACAACTTGTAGATGACAGACAATAGGCAGATCGGGCGATAGTTGCCAATGTCATGGATGTCTCCCTTCTTGAACAGTAGTACGGTCCTGCTGGTTCTCCATTGGGACGGAACTTTGCATTCAGACAGGTAGTGAGTGAAGAGCCGAGCCAGTGTATTGATGAGTACTGACGGCAGGTTCTTCAGGTGTTCAGGTCTGACCTTGTCTGGGCCGGGTGCTGTTTGTTTCTTTACCGACGAAATGGTGTGTCGGATTTCGGAAGGGAGAACGTTGGGAACGACATATCCATCCTGTGGAATTTGGTATGTCGGCAAGTGGACATGGCTATCGAAGAGATTTGAGTAGAAGTCATGGATAATCTTCTCCATTGCTGTTCTGGAGGATGTGATGGATCCATCAGGACGTCAGAGGGCAGTCATCTTGGTCTTGTAGTTGGCGAAGGACAGGCGGGCGTTATGAATACTTTTCCCGGCTTCTGCCGCATATACCAGTACTTCTGCTAAAAATTTATTCAAAACAAATAAATCAGAAAAAGCCTGAGCCTGGAATATCTTCCAAGTACAGTACCCAAAACAAATAAATTAAGCAGAAAAAACCTGAGCTTTATAAAATAAAAACAGTAAGGCAGTACAGTTATTTTATTTATTTTATTTTTTTGCAATCTCTTTTGCTGCTATAATTTATTAATCTTTATGGAAAGGTAATGCCTGGGGAATTGAGTGTTTATCTCTAAAGGGAAACAGCTTCCTTGATTTATGTCAACATTCTTGGAAAGAGCTCATTGGTCACAAGGTGGGTCAAATGAGAATGAACTATTTCAGAACTATTTAAAGTTTCTTTCTTAAATGGCACCATTTAATGTACCATCATTTAATGTATCATTTAATGTAAGCAAAATAAAAACCCCAGGATTCATAATTATGCCTTCATTGTGACCTTATGTACTTGCTACTCAGCTAACTATTGTGGTAGAACAAAATCTACAGAAGATGGAAGTATCTTCTCAGAAGGTGAAAATATCTTCTCACAAATCTTGCTCAGTCTAATTCTGTCCTCAGTGTTTTTAATGTTAACTCAATATTTGATGTTCAGTTTAGTGATTTTTTTTTTAAGTGGGTAATGGATGGGGGCTATAGCTTAGTGCTAGAACAAACATGCTTGCATGCCTGAGATCCTGGGTTTAATCCCCACACCGTTATTACTTAAATTTATTAATTTGAGGTTCCTCCTGATGATTCCTAGCCATCTGGGCCAGCCCTTCAGAGAAGGCCCAAGGCTGTGGTGTGTGCTCCGACCCTGTAATGTCAGGGATTACCTGTCATTCCAGTGATGCTAGGGGATTGAATGCGGGGTTGTTCAGGGCTACACCTGGTAATGCTTGAGGACTATGTGGTTCAGGGATTGAACTGGAGTCAGCATGCAAAGTGTATCCCTTAAATTCTGTACTAACTCTCCAGCCCAAAAATTTTCTCAAAAATATATAAGTGAGGTGGCTGAATAGATACTGCAGTGGGTAAGGCGCTTGCCTTTCACACAGCCTACCTAGGTTTTATCCCTTACACCACGTATGGTCCCCCTAAGACCTCCAGGAGTGAACCCTGAGTGCAGAGCCAGAAATAAGCCCTGATTCTGCATGTTGTAGCCCCAAAAGAAAACACACACACACACACACACACACACAGACACACACACACACACGAAAGATATGGGTAGTGAGACCAGGGAGATAGCTCAAAGACTGGAGCCATTCTTGAGGTCTCAAATTCAATCCCTGGAGCTGCATGGTTTTCCAACACCACTGGGTGTGGCCCTAGTGTCCTCCACCACTGCTGGACCCCAAGCACTGAACCATTAGAGTACAGTGTTTGGGCCAAATGTCATGGGGAACATTGTGTCCCCTATGCATTGCTCGGATAGTAAATGAAAGTTGGGAGTAGATGATCAGATTAGCCTGTCTGTTACTTAATTTAGGAAGTTTGTCACCTAGATTTTTGTGAGGAAAGATTGTGATTGTGATGTGTATTTGTACAATCCCTGTTGACTTGCACATGTTTCCTCAGTCCAGTGGAGGCAGCAGGGCCTCTACCCAACTGTGGGGACCCTTGCATTTCTTTTCAGTAGACTTGTGGGAGATTACAAGTTACATCACACAAAAGTGCACTGGTAGCCTATGGGATCAGGTGGACTGTGGGTTTTGTAATCTATAAATAACATGTTATAAGCCTCAGGGCTAAACAAGCAGGCTTTCCATAAAAGTAAAAAATTCAGTCTGGATTAGGTTGTTATTATTATTTACTCTAGTTAAATTCTTATTTTAAACCTTTTCATTCTGCTTATTGATTTGGAAGAAAACATGACAAAAATGCATAAGTAATAAGAGTGAAGGATCTGATCATAACAGTTTATCAGTTTTAAACACAGGAGAAGATAAAAAAGAGTTGGTAATATAAAAATGACAACTTTTGAATGTATTTGAATGTTTGTCCTATTTAAATACTCTTTAAAGGTCAAAGTCCTTAGATATCAGATTGTAGTTTTCTATGTCAGATTGGAAAGATATGTCATGTATTTAACTGTTGGTAATCATAGGCTTTCTGAAGCCCCTTAAGGCTTTTTGTTTATATATCTTGCGGCTGCTTAAATAATGAAGGAAAAATTTTCGTTTTTCACAGATAAATGTAAGGAAACTTGAATGTCTGGTTATTTTGATAGTTTAACTATTATTGTTGGGTTGATTATCTGTAAACTTAATAGTTGATAAGGATTACTCTTACAACATCCATGTTATACATTTTTATTCATTAATTTTATTGAAAGTCTATAATTTAAATACTGTTAATAATGCATGTTATATTTTATTATTATTTAAACTTACTGTGGATTCTGCATTGTTGTTTTCTGGTTGGTACAGTGATCATAGTGTTGTGTTTACAGGGTGGATGTGTGGACTCGACCAATCAAAGCCTGGCTTTGTTGCTCATGACCCTTGGACAGCAGGATGTTTCCAAAGTTCTGCTTGGACCACTCTCTCCCTACACGTGAGTTATATCTGTCCAGCCTTTATTCTCTGCCCAGTTTAATCTTCCATTTGCACAGGTGACATAGTAGTTGTACTGTGCATAACCTATCACTGAATTTCTATTTGTACTGATCCTTAAATGAGCCACAGTTTGGTCTCAATCTCGTATTAATAAGGAATAAATTCTCCTTTCTTTACTTTTATAATTCCTATCTCTATCTCTCATTGCATGCCATTAGAGCATTCTGTTAAATACCCTTTTAAAAATTTTTTGATCGGTGCTTTAGGTCTTTTTTCTCTTGGGGACTTAACTCCTAGTTCTATTATAGGTCAAAATCTGCCCTCAGCCCCCCCCCGCCCCCAAACACACACACACACACACACACACACACACACACACACACACTCCCCCGTTTTTCATTAGTCCCACTTTTCCCTTTCTGTGATGAAAAGAATTATCTTTTTGTGCAAGATCTTATACTGAAAACTGACTAGAAAGGTGATGAGAAAGATCAAGTTCATAGTTAGTACTACTGGACTGTAGCACTGTCCTCCCGTTGTTCATCGATTTGCTCGAGTGGGCCCAGTAACATTGTGAGACTTGTTACTGTGTTTGGCATATCGAATACATCACGGTTAGCTTGCCAGGCTTTGCCGTGCGGGCGAGATACTCTCGGTAGCTTGCCAGGCTCTCCGAGAAGAATGGAGGAATTGAACTCAGGTTGACTGGGTCGGCCGCATGCAAGGCAAGTGCCCTACCTCCTGTGCTATCACTCCAGCCCATTACTAGACTAGTAGGTAAATTTATATATATGTACATATAAATGGACTGGAGCGATAGCACAGCTGGTAGGGCGTTTGCCTTGCACGCAGCCAACATGGCCGACCCGAGTTCGATTCCTCCGCCCCTCTTGGAGAGCCCGGCAAGCTACCGAGAGTATCTCGCCTGCACAGCAAAGCCTGGCAAGCTACCCGTGACGTATTCGATATGCCAAACACAGTAACAAGCAGTCTCAAAATGGAGACGTTACTGGGCCTGCTCGAGCAAATTGATGAACAACGGGAGAACAGTGACATATAAATATGTTTTTTGTGCCACACCTGGTGATGCTCAGAGGTTATTCCTGGCTTCATACTCAGGAATTACTCTTGGCAGTGCTTGGGAGACCAAGTGTGATGTTGGGGATCGAAACTGGGATGACTGCATGCAAAGCAGATGCCCTACGCACTGTACTATTGCTCTAATCCTGGTAAATGAATTGTAGAGGTGAGTTTGAGACCTTTGACTGTTCTTCAAATATGAGGTTGATACCTCAGAATATTGATAACTTTGCAATATTAAAAAGAGCAACTGCTCAGAAGAGCTGAATTATGAGGAGGTCAGTGAAAGAAGTATTGTGTGCACTTGAGTTTCTGTGCTTGAAGAGCATAATGTGGTGGGAGCAGTGGGTTACATAGGGGAATTACATGAGGGTGGTGTGCAGGTAGCTAAGAGACTGAACTGCCCTTTTTCGGTTATCATGGTACCGATGCTGTATATCTGAAAGGTACAGTACTGTGATAACTGAAGAATGGTGGTGCCATCACATTGAGAAAGGCGGGAGCTCTGTCACGGGACAGTGTCCATCGGACCACGACTTGGAGTGGGTTGGAGCCTTGTGTTTAAGATTTCCTTGGGAGGCTTTGTCTTGCTTTTTTGCATCCTAATTGGTGGCAGGAGTTTTGGAGTTGTTTTTGTTTGTTTTAAACAAGTAAATGGAAGAGAATGCATTCTGTTGACGGAGGGGGAAAACCTACAAGCAAAAAACTGGTGTGGACCCTCCTTCTCTCCTGACAGCTAATGTGAAATGTTTCATGGGACAGAAAACTTGAAATGGAGTAATCCTAAATGGCACACTTACCTCTGGAGTCCACATTGCTAAAATAGACATTTGGAGAGGAGGCAAGGGCTGGAAGTAGAATGAGTGTTCGTAAGTGCAGAGATTCTCTTTCATTGAGGAATGGCTGATGTACGCGACCTTCTTCAGCGTTTTAGTTTCATGGCTGCCACTTTCCAGTTCCACAAGGATCAACTGCATCTATAACACAACATGGTGTCAGAAAGGGCAGCTATGTGCTGTGAGCTTTGGTAGCACATTGGTTTAAAAAACTGAAATCCATGCCTCTTTGACCCCTTTTTTGGTGGTAGGGTATATGTTTAGTTATTTTTTCAGTTTGGCTTCTGGGTTTTACCTCCTTGACACACCCCTTTGCCAAACATTATTTGCAGGTATGTCACTACTGCAAACCTAGTGTGAAATTACTGCATCTCCTGGGGAGGCAGTGTGTCTATTGCTGAATGGAGCTTTACTAAGAATAAGACAGACAGACTTCTAAGTTACTACATGTTTTGAGACTTGGTGGACATTCTTCCTCTAGATTACTTGCCTCCTAGGCTCTAGGCTTCTTGCAAAGGGACTTTCCTTTTTTTTTTTTTTTGCTTTTCGGGTCACACCCAGCGTTGCACATGGGTCACTCCTGGCTCTGCACTCAGGAATTGCTCCTGGCACTGCTCAGGGGATCATGTGGGATGCTGGGAATTGAACCCAGGTCGGCCACATGCAAGGCAAACGCCCTACCCTGTGCTGTGCTATCACTCCAGCCCCGCAAAGGAACTTTTAGGAGTGGGCAAGGTCAGCCTCCCTTTTTTCTCACTAGCATTAGAAACAGTGGGGAAATTTATTTTTAAGAAAATCATGTCTGTTCGGGTCTCTTCTTGCCCTTTGTCACTGTGCAAGGCTCCACTGACTCAAGTGATAAAAGGACAAGAGTGGAGAAGAATTATACATTCTTTGGGAACCTGATGGCCAACTTTGGATTTGTATGTATTAAGGGCAGAGATGGCACAGAATCAATAGCTAGAATGATGGAGGTAATAGTTTATGCTTGATGGATTCAAGAGCTTTTTGGAGACCTGTTTTTATGCAGTTTAAGTCAAAGGAACCTGTTTTCTGAAACTTCCAAATAGGAAACCAAAAATCTTCTTGATTAACGGGGAAAAGGCAGTTTGTTCATTTTTAATTTTATGAATAGCTTTTAAATTTTTATTTAGAAAGTGAGTACTAGGATTAAGATGGATTTTTCCCCCTATTATTTACTTTTTTAAACTCTTTGTGAAAAATAAAGGTCTCCTTATTCTTCCTTGTTTTCCTCCTCAGAAAATGTGTGCTGTTGGTGACTTGCTTTGTTACTTAAGAAATAAAGTGTGTAAGTGTAAAATTCCTTGGGAAGACCAGGTACAGGGCCCATTTTTACTGTGAGAACTGGGATTCCTCCATAATGATAGATTTAAGTTATCTCCTCTTCTGGGCAGGATGTCACAGCAACATCTTTTCAGATTTCTTTCAAATTCTCCTGTATGATAGTCTCCCACTGGAGTCTGAAATAAACCATGCCACTGTTTTTCCCTAATAGGTGATCTTGTGCTACTACTAGTTAAGTATTGGGGAACACAAGCAAGTACCCTTACCAACACTGACTGACTGAGGGTTGTTGACCCATGGCCGAGTGAGGATCAAATGAGAATATGCCTGGAGAAACTGGGAGCCAGAGGGGCAAAGCTTTGCTTACTGTTTGGTATTCATTGCTCAGCTTTTCTCTGAACTAAAATAATAGTGCTGTATAGTTGATCTTTGTAAAGTGTTTTAAATATTGCAAAGCCTTATAACATTTATATTATATTTCAAGGATATATGTAACTTATATAAGAGAGAGCAAGTAAATGATAGCCATACTTTTCAGATGAAAATACTGACTTCCGTTCCAAGGACAAAGTTATTTAACTTGTTTATAAACAAAGCAGGACATAGAGTTAGGCTGGGGTTACATGGGTTTTATGTCAAGTCTGACCAAGAGAAGAGTTTTCGTTCTGGGAGCAGAAGTCAGCTGAGCTTTGGGAAAAGTCTCTAATGGACATAAAAAGTACCATCAATGTATTTTAAAACTGCTGTGTAATCATGCCAGGGGGCCACATTTAAGATTGTCTCCCAATCCCCAAATCCTTCTCCTTGACTTGCAGAGTTTCCTAGACCTGAAAAGTAGGTAATCCTAGCATCCATGGGACTTGGTGGAGAAGGCAGGACCCTGTGTCTGTGGGATGCCAGAGAGAATTCACCCATGATTGTGCCTTCCTTTTTTTTCTCTCTCTCTCTCTTTTGGCTTTTGGGACACACCTGACAGTGCTCAGGGCTTACTCCTGACTCTGCTCAGTGATCACTCCTGGCAGGACTTGGGAAATCACATGGGATGCCGGAGAATGACCCTGAGTTGGCATGCATGGAAGTGCCTTACCCGCTGTACTGTCACTCTGACCCCTGATGGTTCCTCTGCCTCTGTCCCCTTCTCAGGTTTCAGCAGAGGGACCTCTGCTGTTAGGGAAGGAAGGTACATTTAGGGATTGACTCAGGAAATCTGCCAAGTCCCAGGCTGTTGAGATCCAAAGGGAACGTGACCATGAGCCTATAGCTTTAACTGTCGGGAACAACTGCTTTTTGAAGAATGGGCACATTCTTCACTACCTTCAAGATGAGAAAAAGATCTCGTGTCCCAGAATCTTTAACACTTAGTTATCTATTAGATGGCTGTTGCCTTTTATGGAGATTTTTTTTTAATTTTTGTTTTGTTCTGAAAATAAATCACTTTGTCCTGAAAAATTCTTCACGGGAGTTGCTGCAGCTTAGTTGCCTAAAGTAAAGCAGATATGCTGAAAGCCACCAGTTTGACTTTACAAAGTTCTCACTTCAGTGGAGTTGCCCTCCACATGCCATTGGTCTCTTTTGCCTGACTCTGTGTCTAAGTGGTTGTGTCTTAGAAGAGTGGGTCTGGGTTCAGAAGAGAGGGCAAGAGAAGCGTTTGGGGCTTGTGAGTGGGAGAGATGGCTGACTTTTCCTTCATTGCTACTGACTGGCAGCTTTGCTCACAGGTACAGACTTGTGGATTTTATGTGTTTGCTTTTTATTGGGTCAATTTAATTTTTTTTTT